TGGACTAATCTATCTTGAATTGGAGGCTCCTAAGCCCATCTTAATTTGGTGTTTGTCAGTTCGTCATTGCTGTGTGTCTTTCTTCGAATTTAGGTTTTTGATTGTCACTTGGTTTCTTCTCTCTTTTTTCATATTTGGACATTTCAATCCATTTAAAAGAGAACCCATGAAATCAAATCAAAATTTTATTTCGTCTTGAACATTTGACCTTTCTTTATCATAAATGCATTCAATATTCGCCGATTGCGGGTATGCATTTAATACAAAAATACGATACAGTAAATTAAACACAACTGTGAAATATGAAAATGTGATAAATGACCATTTATTAATCTGTTAATTCATCAACTGATTTCCCAGTTTACCAATTAATTTCAAATTAACTCGGCTTGTCTTTTCTGAAAATTATAAGAAGAAGTCGATTCCGGTCAAGTATTTCTGGTATTCTTATGTTTGAAATAAATTCCCAAGGGAATGCAAGACGAATTATAAAAATGCTGGTCAATTTTCCTCGTCAGCTATTCCTGAAATTGGACATGGCATGTCAATTTTATCTGGACAATCAACTACTTTTTATTATCCAAGTACGTCTTAATTACAAAAATTACTGGATTAATTTACACATATGAATCACTATAAATTGATAAAAGTTAATCAGATGTCAATGAAATATTCAGTCTCTTGGCAGCATTCAGTATAGGGACTCCGGGATCGGGTGTTTTAAGCTCGAGATTTCAGGATTGATCCTTTCGGAATCCGGGAATTCTTTTTTCGAATTTCGGGATGTCGGGATTTAAATTTCTTTAAATTCGGGACCTCGGGATTTCATGTTTTTAAGCCCGGGATTTCGGGATCAGGACCCCTCCGACTCCGGATGATCATATATGTGTTAATTGATTAATCAGTGGGAATCCTTTAACATGTTAACTATCAGCAAGGATTTGTATAGTTTTAAATCCTTGCTATCAGCAAGACACTTGGTTTTAAGGGAAAGAAAAATTATATTAAATATGCAATATTGCTACATTGTACTTGGGCTGTAGCAAGGAATTGTATATTTTGAGTCTTGAGTTGCAAGTAAATGGCACAAAGTCCCACGCCTGACCGTCACACAATTGATGGAACAAAAATTCACAATTAAATAGTAAAACTGTTTACTATCGTTTGAATATATTAGAGAAACTTAAATTATTGAAGTACTTTCTTTTTATCACAAAAATTCATCATTATACAGCTTGGGATATTGTTCGTTAGAATTGATAAATTTTATTTATGCAAAGGATATATTTCTTGGTACCATAAAGCCAGTCAAGTAATAACAATTTTTTTCGCAGCCTATTTTCTAAATAATCACTAGATCATTATGAATTCTTTTACCGTGAATTAATTTTGTTTACAAAGTTGTTTATACTTATAATTATTAATGTTCAAGAAAACACAAAATATTACTATGAAATAAGTTTTTCACATTGTAAATCAGAGACAAACTATCTCTAACCTGACTTTTTTCTGGTACCATCTTCGTGTCCGGGGCTTTTATGGCCTACATTTGAAATGTATCATCTTAATTCAACAAATGGATATATTGGCTTATAAATAAAAAGTTGTGGTATGATGAAAACTTTCCGTCAATTGAAAGAACAAAATACGAGGATGTTAACAACTATAGGACACTGTACGTCATTTAATTAACAATGAGTAAAACCCAGTTATACATGTTATAAAAAGTTATGTTATAAAATGCCCCGGTATGAAAATATGAGAAATCATATAAAAGAAAAAAACGCTGTATCTGTATTACCTTTATATTAATGATGTTTATTCTTAACATAAACCCATATTGAAAAGAAAAGATGGGAGTAATATGCAAAAACAAGACACAATACAATTTCATATGAAACTCGTAAATCTCCAAAACATATGCGGTGTGAATCTAAATTTTTCAATAAACTATAGAGCTTCATCTTCACATGTGTATCCGGGATCGTTTTCCGTCTTCCTCAAGCAAGTTTAAAAAGCAATTCATATTGATGAAGATAACAAATGTTTTCATATATATTTACCTGCAAAATCGCTAAATAAGTTCATGAAAAAGAATTATAGGTCTGCTATATACAACTTTTTATACAGCCATTGTACATAAACAAAAACATGTCTATCCAAAACAATTTTGTAATCACATAGCCCGGTAAGCAGAAAGGCAAAATAGATTTTCAAAAATATTTAATATGCACTCATGTGGGACGGTCATTTTTATATAGACACCAAAAGGAGGCGAATTGGAACTTAGACGATTTACTGTGAAAAAAAAGCATAGGATAGCAAATTTTCGGTACCAAAAACAAGATGTGTGACATAAACTTAAACAAACCAGAGTTAAGTTCTTTTCTAGAACTTGTCTGTTTTGTTTTTTCTTTTATGCACGTTCTGTTAATCTATACTGAGATTCAAAAGGGGGAGGGTTGAGACCTACAAAAGTAAGTTTAACTCGAACACATTTCCATATACATGTACTGGTACCTGTCCAAATTTGGGGACCTCGTAAGTAGTTGTCGTATGTCATATCTTATTTGTTTTCGTTATTTGGAGAATGTTTGTGTTTATAACAGACCTTAAGAAAAATAAGAAGATGTGGTATTATTGTCAATATTAGAAAATAATCCACCAGAGACTGAAAAACGAGGATGTAAGCAAACACCACATAGTTTTTTTTAAATTCACATTGAACGTGTAGACTCTGGGCGATTTAGATCTTGACATTTTTATAAAGGCATGTCTATTGTTGAGTATCTAAGTTGCCCTGTAAGAGCCTGTCTTTTGGAGAAGGCTATATTTTGCTCTCAAGATGTCTAAGTTATGTATGTGCATGGTTGGGTTGCTATCTCATTTACCAGAAGTTCATGACTTCTGCATTTACTTATACCCCACATCTACCTTCATTCATAGAAAAAGTTTGGTCTGATAGAAATGATTACACTGATATTGAAAGGCAAAGTAATATTATTTTTGAAATATCAGAAAACCTGTTGCAGATATCAAATGATATGTCTAAGAGAGTGCCCAACTGTTTTTGAATTTATTATTATAATTTAACTGTTGAATAAGTTTTTTTTTTTTATATCATCGGACATTTGAATGTTCTAGATGCACAATTAACATATTGGATAGAAAATAAAAGGATATGGACTCCGTAAATGTACATGGGACAAAATCGCACACAATACATAGAAAACATAGAAAATTATCAATGGGCAGGGCTTTTATTCCCGTTCTTCATCTTGACAGTTGATGTAGGGTCTTCAACAATGAACGAATCATTCCAATATTTTAACATTCAAAATTTTAGTTAAATCTCTCATGCACACAAGACATGTTAGACGGGGCTATATATGTTCATGTATAAACATCCCTGAGTACAGAAGTTGACGGAGTTATACGTTAAGTGTACATTAAACTTTTAGTACTGTCAAATGATATTCAAAATCAGCATGAATGTCGGTCTACATCTTTCATTAATTGAATAGCTGGCAGATGATAAAACAACGGGTGGTTGTTGTTTAAACTGGTTAAGATAAGAACACAATAAACGATACTCGTACATATCTTTTTCCTTCCAATAAATAAAATATGTATTATACATAATAAGTGTTTACGAGAAAGAAAAACAATTAAATGTTACTTTTCCCGAACCCTACAAAACTGTAATAGCAATACACAAATGCTATGCTTTGCATTTTTAATTAATTCATCATCCAACTTTTAGTACAGAATTTCAAATTCACATTGTTTCCTTTGTCATTAGGTGTGTACTGCAAATAAGCTCTTTGTAATTCATTAGCAATTTTCTAATCATACAAAATGTGTTTAAGTTCTATCTATATATTTAAATTATCCGGATAATGTTATATTTAACAATTTAACATTTTCGTCATCATGAATTTATTTTTAACAATAATTGAAAAATGATTAACATTATTATTTTTTTTTTCTTAAGTTTCGACGCTATCTTATATCAAACATCTTCATTCTTTCCCAATATGGTATGTATAGATATCGGTTTCAGTTCTTTACAATATACGTATACATGAACTGACGTTTGATATTTTTTTGCACCTTCAGAAAGAAGAATTACACAAAAAAAACATAGGACATGGCGAAATAATGTCACTGCAATAACGAATTTTATAGGATTTTTTTTACTACCACTCGTCATCATTGAACTTGGTTAAGTTATGTAGGAAAAACGTATCTTTTCATGGGAAATTTTCAAATCATTAGGGACACCACTTTAAAATAACATAAAATTTTTTTTTTTACATCAAAATAAAGATAAATCTAATAACTTTTTCACCTGTCATGGCAATAGTTTATGATTGTACAAATAAAATGTTGACAAATCATTTTAAAGCAACTGTCATGTTTTTTCCATATACAACAATGTTAAATTTTATCAGTCCAAAAATGCTCCGTTGTTGGTCACTGATAACGCTACCCCCGCTGAGCTGTCCCTGATTCTTGTGTATGACCATCGGAAAACATTGCGGATAATGCGGGGCTCATTCATACCGTAGCACCACACACCCTTTGCCAAAGAAAATATTTCAAACGAAGTTGGACAGCTTTGACACTCAAGCTTAAGTCCAAAGAAATGAAAAGACAAGTGTTTCTGACATTAGTTGGAAAAGTAGTGAAAAGGGAGATCATCAATACTTTATTTTGTTGGCCCATTATTTTGTAACAATGTCAATTTAATTATTTATGATCCTCATCAGGACCCTCCAAAAGCCACTGCAAATGTAGTAAAATGATAAGCTATTTGATCGTAAAACTATTAACAAATAACATTCATATACTTTCCATGTAACAAAATGGAAAAAGAGAACATTTTGTAAATGATACAATTCGTACTTTTCAATTCATGTTTGTATTTATAGTACGGATTTGAATCGTCAATTGACTTTTTAATTTTATAATTTTCAGTAGTTCAACTTCCGGTTTCATTTTCAATTTTGAAAGTCCACCGACAGTTTCTTATGAAAAACCTTTGTTCCCCTGAAATTTAATTAAACAAACGACACTTAATTTCATTCATATTACTTTCAAATCGTTTATTAAATGCTTAACTGATTCTTATCTCACTGTTTCCGCGACACAGAACGTGACTCGTGACAGCACATGACTGCAAACAGAAAGTAGACGTGACAAACATGACACTCTTCTCCGATTCTGCAACAGATGTTGCTACTGTTTCAAACTTTAGAGAGGTTGTTGTGACTCATTATCATCTTGATCTTGATGTGAATTTTGACCGAAAAGAAATTGCAGGAGCTGTGAAAGTCGACTTCAGGTGTTGCAAAGATTCAGGAGTTGGTAAGTATGCCCTAGTCCATATAATTATGAGTCTTCTTCTTCCGAATACGGGAGTAGACTCGTGTGCTATGTACACATGTACTTAAATAAATTTACTAAACAATAGAATAAATAGTCAATTGAATATCAATATGATTTCAGAGGGCAAACATTTGACATCGTTCATAATTGTGTCCAGTCGTAATCGCGCCAAATACATATTCGCACCCTACAGGTTTGCACCCACATGTTTCCCTCTAGGTACGTTCGCACCCTACACATTCGCACCTTTTTTTTTTATTCAAAAACCTGATAAAGTTTTAGATGTTTTGTAGATGTTTATATCAAAACATTTTTATTTTCATAAATAAAAATTCGGGAATTTTTAAATGAAATATTGTTTTTAATTGATTTGATGATTAATTATTAAATGTTAATTATGTATGATTACTGCTAATTGGTATTTATACACAGCCTAATTTGGTGTTATTGTTGAGTGTTTAAAAATCATGATTGTTGTCATGGTTGTTTTAACTTGCTTTAAATTTAAATACTGCATGTATTTAGCTTGGTATGAGTAAAACTTTGAAGATTTTAAATAAAAAATTGAAAGGGGGGCGAACGTGCATGGGGGCGAACGTGATTGGGCGCGAACGGACCTGGATTGGTCCGGTTGGGACATATACATTTTGTACAGTGGCTTTGGTGGTTTAATTAGTTGGTGTGGGTCCTTCAAATGTTAGAATGGATATACCACTTTTGAAGGAACCCAGGGTTTCAGACATATATATCATTGTCTATTGCTTCATGTAGTGAATTCCAGTCAGAGATGGTGTTTGGATAAAAAGGATATTGATAGAATAAAATTAAGAATGGAAATGGGGAATGTGTCAAAGAGACAACAACCCGACCATAGAGCAGACAACAGCCGAAGGCCACCAATGGGTCTTCAATGCAGCGAGAAACTCCCGCACCCGGAGGCGTCCTACAGCTGGCCCCTAAACAAATATGTATACTAGTTCAGTGATAATGGACGTCATACTAAACTCCAAATTATACACAAGAAACTAAAATTAAAAATGATACAAGACTAACAAAGGCCAGAGGCTCCTGATATGGGACAGGCGCAAAAATGCGGCGGGGTTAAACATGTTTTTTGAGATCTCAACCCTCCCCCTATACCTCTAGCCAATGTAGAAAAAACAAACGTACAACAGTACGCACAGTAAAACTCAGTTTAAGAGAAGGCCGAGTCCGATGTCAGAATAGGAAACAAAAGATAATAAACAAAATGACAATAATACATAAATAACAACAGACTACTAGCAGTTACTGACATGCCAGCTCCAGACCTCAATTAAACTGATTGAAAGATTATGTCTTCATCATATGAATATCAGGCACAATCCCTCCTGTTAGGGGTTTAGTATTATACCGTCATAAAATATATGAGAAGAACATAACCCGTGTCATGCCAACAACTGGTTTTAGAATAAATATGTTTAATTCCGATGCAAAGACCCTATAAGTGAATCAATATTAAAGCCAAAATATGCAATTTTTAATGACCTGACAACAGTATCGTAACTATATCCCTTCTTAATAAGTCTGTTTAAAGGTTTTGTTAGCTTTTGAGGTGAATACTGACATTTTTGTGCTTTGTAAAGAATATTACCATAAAAGATTGGATGTGAAATAAGTCTTTATTAGTAGCAATTTGCCGAAATTTATGTTTCCCTCTTGCATTGTCTTGTACGTCTGTCAGATTTTGTTAAATTGTCCCTTGGAACTTCCACTTACCCCCAATTAATTTTATATAGCATTGTTAATCTAGCTTTTTTTATTCTTTTATGTTAAGTTTCCCATTGCAAAGAATTTATCATGTTGGAAACCGCACCCGGTGTTCTGACTTTATAATTATTATAGACATATTTGGCTGCTTTACGCTGAATCTGCTCAACCTGAGTGATGTGGTGCTTTTTGTACGGATCTTAAACAGGGGAAGCGTATTCAACGACTGGACCAACAAGTGATGTGTACATATGGTTTTTAACCTTACGTGTGCAGTTTTTTAAATTTTTACGAATAAAGCCTAAGGTTTTATTTGCCTTACAGGTAATATTGTCTATATGTGTTCCCCAATCAAGATCATGGCTTATAGTTACACCTAAATATTAAATGTCTTTAACAGATTTTAATACATGATTATGCAATGTTTAAGACGTCTTGAGAGGATATTTAAAATTTTTGCTGTGACACCTCATAGGAAGGCGTCACACTTGAAAAATTAAAATAGTCTTTCAAGACATCATAATTATTTGGATGTATGAAATGGTCGGTTCATAACAAGCATTTTTTAACAAATATCATGAGGACCATTACAGTTATGCCTGGAATCTGCAGCTAAGCTCAGTTTAGTTGGATACTAGAGCAAAGAAGATGCCTTCCCATCTGTCACTTCATTTCTATTTATCAAAAGTAGTATAATTTAGCTCTTCAAATTACACCTGGAATTCCAATTGGTGCCCTTGAATGTTGAGAATATTAACACAAATCTGACATTATCATGATCATCAATTAGACCAATTCAGAGATACAACTGAATATATAAATGTTTTGTTGATGCTTTTGAATGATTCCCGGTAAGTGCATCATTTTAAAGGGTGCTGAGGTTGAGCATAATGATTACAAAGTCATGAAAGTACCTTATTTAGTTAAATTTTTGTATTTTCTTGTCCTTCCATTATTCATATGATAAAATCAACATTGAGGTAACTTTCTATCGAATATTAAATTAAAGTAATTTTATTCATTACTTTCTTACAGTGCAACTTGACATCCATGAAACACTGACTGTGAAAACTGTACAGCTTTCTGATGGGGACAAGAAAACTGATTTGCAGTTTGAGAAGAAACCTTTTACAGGATATGGCTCAGAGTTACAAGTTAAGGTAAACCAATCGACACTTTAACAATAATTAAACACTTTTAAAGCTAATAATAAAAGTCAATATTGTCCAATTTTAGACATAATTGTGTTAGTACAAAATGGAAAGATGGAAACCAAAAATATATACTACAAAAGAAATGATTTTAACTTTGCTATCACTATTTCTTTTCCTTTATTGGGCTGTGAATTTCCTCATGCTACATCCTATGACATGTACATTTCACAATTTGTACGGTTTGCTAAAATATGTTCAAATGAAGCTGACTTATGAAATGTCTTAATGTTTGTAACTTTGAATTTAACACAAAAGTTACTTTACAAGGTTACAAATACAAGTACCTCATACTTTCGAAAACCTCCAGAAACTATTTTTAACATTGAAATTGCTTCTTACACACCTGGAAGAGCCAAACTATTTTTCATGTGTTTTCTGTATTAAAAGCTTTTACTAGTACATTTTGTATATGCTAACTTGGTAGTTTTCTTCAGCAGAAGCAATTTCTTTTTATGACAAAAGTAGTTAATATAAAAATTATTCAGTAATAGATAGTACATGTAGTATATATTTGGATAAGATTTATTTACATTTCATATATATGAATAATTTTGAATCAGAAATACGTTGTACTTAGTAATCAGTTATTAATTATCTCATTTTTTGTCTGAATTGGATTTTTGTGTATTATAATTCACCAATTTGAATTAATTTGAAATATACAGTATCAAACTATGAGTCCTGATGGTCCTGTTCATAAAAAAAAATTTCAGGTCCTGCAATCAGATACAGTGCCTAATGTAGTTATTGAATGTTTCCTATTTTATTTGTTACAGTTGAATACAACCATGAAGACAGGTGACACCTTTAGTCTAGTGATATCTTATGTAACAGGAGATGGACCAGGTGTTGTATGGCTGGACCCAGAACAGACTGCTGGTAAATTATCACATATTGAAGGTCCCTAAGAGTATACAGTCACAGGATATATGTTTATGATGACCTTGTGTCTTAATTATTAAACGAAAATCCAATTCATCATTTGATCTGTTGAATAATGCAATTGAAAATAAATAGAGAATAACTGGTTAATAGCTAGTATTCTATTGATTTTTGTGTCACTAATAAAATCATTTTATTTGTTAAAGTAAAAGAAAATTTACTTTGTTTAGTATTGAAATCATTTTCAGAGTTCTCAATATCTTTTTTTCCCTGGTGGTCTTTGAAGAAAATCTGCTAGTCCTCACTATTATTTCTATTGCAAAATACAAAACTTTTGACGGTCATTTGTAAATTTTGGTGGTCAAATCCTTTGGACCACCACTTTTCAAGAACTCTGATTTTTGAATTAAAACGTTTTATCTATCCATATGTTGGTTTCCCCTGAATTCTTGTTAGCCTAGATATAATGATTTGTGTTGTGTAATTTGTGGGATTATATTGAATGATGCCAATACATCAGACACTATTAAAGTTTTAATTTGTCTAACAGGTCAATGCAGTAAACCTTAGCTTGGAGGCTTTTCAAGAAACAAAATCTTTATTGTATATAAAATAGAAAGAAATGAAGGGTAAACATCATTGGAACAGCAACCATTCAACACTAACCAAAAATAGTGATAACTGAAACAGTAGTTTGTGTAGATATCTTTAATGGGAAAAAGTTATATGTGTTCAAGGGAATAATTAAAAAATATATGGTTTGTGAATGACTTTATAATTAACCTTTGATTTTCTTTCACAGAAATGATATTCAGTAGACAATGCTTAATAGAAATTGAGAGTAATCCCTTTCAAAACCATTTCAGGAAAAATAAAACCCTTTATGTACACCCCAAGCTTTGCTGTCCTGAATCGTGCATTTTTCCCTTGTCAAGACACACCTGCAGTAAAGGCTACCCATGATGCAAATGTTAAGGTCAGTTTTTATTCCATCATGTCCATGGGATGCATGTAGTTTTGTTTCCTCAATGCATTACCTTTTATTAAAGCATAAAGATATGGTGTATCAAATGTAATTGATAACTTTTGACCTTACCTTTTGTTTACTATATGAGCTGTGTCAGATAGAAATCGACCTTTTGCAATTGAATATCAATACATCTGTTGACCTATTTCGGTTTGAAAAAATCTCTATGAAAAGTCTTTAACTGTTTGAAAATTGAGATGTTATAAGAACCCTATAAAACAGACCAAAGTTTATCTTTAATATCATATTTGAATGTTCCAATATCAGTTGAAGTTTTATACATGTACATGTATACGTGCACTTGCATAAGGTCAATTTCTATCAGATGCAGCTCATATTTTGTCTTGTCTATCCAAGTCAACTGGCATTGCTACTTGGAGATCAAAATTTTGTTAAGTTTACAGATCAGGAATGTTTGTGTCCTACCTTTCCCAGTATTTTCCAATCAGGTAATTTTTTTGCCAAAGGGGAAATTATCAGAGTATGATAATGCAGTTACTATATGTTGTCTTGTCTATCCCAGTCAGCTCTAAATTTTGTTTAGTTTACTTGTTTCCTACCTTTCCCAATATTTTTCAATCTGGATTTTTTAACAGAACTGTTAATGAGTACAATATTAACAAGTCCTTTAAATATATTTGTTGTAATAGATCAAACAGACAAAGCTTACAGATAATTTGCCTCTAATGTATAACTTTTTACCAGATACTAGATTTTTTTCTTTGTGTATGCTTTTTGACTTTAGATCAATAGGTTGTGTAAAGTATGAAGCATAACTAATTGGCTGATAACTTTCACATTAAGCACATTTATATACAATAAATCATGAAACCTTTAGGTAGGATTTCATCAAAAAATTGTGGACCAAATATGCCTCTTACCATGCATTGTCCCTTTATGACATCATTCACATAAATTACAGAGTGTACCTATATGTATATTTTCTTACTGACTTCTATTGCCCAGGCAAGTTATTTTAGAGTACAAATTCAGTAACTACTCACTGTATAAGCAGACATAAAATCAACTTTTTTAGAGAAAAAAAATCTCTACATTCTTTTCAAAGTTGATACATAGTAAGACTCAGTACAGTGGAGGGTTAAAATTGGCGTGAATTAAACCCCCCCCCCCCTTTACAAATCAAGACCTCTTCTCTGAGTTTTATGGACCCATAAGAAATTGATATATGGTTAAAAAAATAATAGCCAATTTTTAGAGCCTAAGAGGCTTGTTTTGTTTTCACTTTCATTTAATAACTAGCTGCATGGTTTCTTAGGTATTTTCATTATCAGTTCCAATGTTCAAGAGGAGCTTTTAAGTTGAAAACTTTCTTCCAGAAGATTTGTTACCAAAAACAGGTTATCAAATGAAAGTTTGACCCAGAATCACCAAACAAATACTAACATTCATGACATTATCATTATGGAGAATATTGACATCAATTGGTCACTATGGTAAATTTAATATTGAGATTGAATATGTGAAGCCCAAACTACTTTATAATTGCAGGAAAGAAAAAGCCTTACTTTTATACACAAGGCCAGGCAGTTCTGAATAGATCTTTCTTTCCTTGTCAAGACACTCCTGCTATTAAATCAACTTATAGTGCCAATGTTAAGGTTAGCTCTCCATTTATCATTTACTTTCTGGAAGCATATTGTTATCATTTTTAATTTTCATATAATATTGACATATGTCTGCTTCATGAATACAGTGTAATTGTTAATTTCAAAACTTACTGAAAATAGGTAGAAAAGTGTTTAGAAAGAAGTATTTTCAAAAAAGAATAAAATTGAGATGATGAAAAACAAATTATTATGAAGAATAAATGTGACAGATTTAGTACAATGCTAAAACTACTTTTTGTTTCAGGTACCAGATGGGTTTACAGCTGTAATGAGTACCAGTCAAAGAAAAGAGCCTGGTACTGTACCTAACATGTCTGGAGAAACAGATAATGTATACTTTAACTTGCCATTTGCCATTCCAGCTTACCTTGTAGCACTGGCAGTTGGAGATTTGCAGAGTGCTAAGATAGGACCTAGAAGTCGTGTATGGACAGAACCATGCATACTTGTAAATATTAGTTGTATTATCAATTTATCATGATCACATAATATTTTCTATTTTATTACACATGAAACGCAATTTGTTTAAATTCAAATATCCCAGTGCTTTTTTATTGTTTAGATTATTGTGAAATTTTCATAAATATGGTGACGAATATACTTTAAACATACTTAGTTTATCAGTGAATAATGAAGTGTCTCCCTTTGTCCAGTAACAGTTTACACTGGCAATAGTAGCAAATTCAAATAGTGAAAAACTTAACAATAAATCTAGTTAGCTTCTGTAAAATTGGTCAACTTGTTTCAAGGGTGGGAAATTTTAACTGATAAAAAAGGGTATGTTGAATAGAAGCACTTACCTTTCCATAGAGCACATTGGTACCCCTCAAAGAAACACTCAGAGTTTTTTATGAATAAATGGTAATATAATTTCATGTTTGGATTTTCATGGGTATTAAGGCTCCTTTGGTTACTTTACTTTACTTTACTAAGTTATTAACTGTTATATTAAAGATATTAATGTATATCTTACAAATTTGCTTTAGGAAAAAGCAAGAGCTGAATTTGATGGTGTTGTTGAAGATTTTATACAGACTGGAGAGAAGTTGTTTGGACTGTATGCATGGGAGACCTATGATATCTTGGTGATGCCACCTTCATTCCCATTTGGTGGCATGGAGAACCCATGTTTGACCTTTGTAACACCATGTTTACTGGTGGGTGACAAGTCACTGACAGATGTGGTGATTCATGAGATTGTAAGTCTACATTTTGTTTCCACTTATCTGATCAGTCATGAAATTATCCACCTATAAACCCTCATTCCAAAGGATGGTGGGGGTATACTGGTTTACATGTCTGTTCCTCTGTCTGTCTGTACATGTTCTGTAACACAATTTTGTCACATTTTCTCAACAAGTCAAAGCTTCTTGATATATGGCACTTAGCCTCATCTAGTTATGTCATGCCAAACGCTGTAACAGGTTTTCAGTTTCTTCAATGTTCTATCTTTTTCTCAAATCTTGTATCTTTAAAATGTCGTGCACAATGAGAAATTTTCCTTCCATTTTATATTGAGTGAGTATGATAGGTAAGCTCAAAGTACAACAATGTGTCTCCCTTTCCTGACTAGTACTTATTTTTATTTTGAACAAGCTTTTTAAAGTCTTGATATTTACTCTTCGAACTAGTCGAATGATTTTTCCCTACCTGCTAAATAACACTAGCAGAAATGCAGGTGCATGTATTTTATTTTGCCTAATGAACAGTTAAAAATTTGTCTTTGATGGTCTCCAAACCATTATCAGTACATGTAAATGTTTCATAGGTTAATTGGTGCATTAATCTTACAGGTAAATACAGGTAAATTTTAGGAAAATATCATGATAAAATTGATAGTCAGTTTAACTTTTTTTGACATTTTTAATATGATAGAATAACTTGTTATATAACAACTCACAACTTATTTACTTGTTCATTCCTACAGAATGTTTGAAATAAACAGCCCTCAGGAAATGACTATGATCACTTTCCCGTCCTGATAATTTTGGAATTGCTCCATCAAGTACTCATTTTTTCTCTTTCTTACTCTGCATGAAACTACACTTTTTTAGTTTGACATATGTATAAGTTAGAAATATAGATAGTGTCATGCACTGAAATCGACAGCATTCTATTCTTGTATTTGCACACCAGTTATGACTGCATTGTGCATTACAACTTCAAAATGGATGTGAACGATGCTGGAGTTAAATATAGTGTTTCTTTTTGCACACCATCAGATATCATGTTGACCAGAACGGTGAAAATTTGTTCACTCAATTTGTTTAAGATCTGCTAAACAAAAATCCATGGAAAATATTCATGGAATGCTTACATTAGTGTATTTTTCCAAAATGGAAGAGAACACTTCTGTTTAAGATTTACTGTTACACTCACAGGGTACAATTGATCAGGATAAGATAGACTTGTGACCTCAAATATATATGAAAATTGAACATTTTGTTTCTTTGTTTTTTGTTTTTTGAAAGTTAAACATTCTCTACATATTAATTATGAAGAATCTTTATATTCTACCTGTATTACCTGTAAAATAGATTAGTGCAAATGTTATAATAAAGTTCTGTAGGGTATAATGTTTTTGATCCGTCCGTCAGTCTGTCAGTCTGTCTGTCCGTCTGTCCCTCAGTCCGTCTGTCCTGTTTTTGTCATCGCAACTCCTCTGAAACAGATTTTTAGAAACTTTGTAGATAACAAGGACATACTATGGAGATGTGCATATCGACAGGACATTATAATTCAATTTTTTTTCTATGAGTTATGCCCCTTTAACTTAGAATTTTGGCCTTAATATACTACTGCCACAGTTTGTCATTGCAACTCCTCTGAAACCAAAAGACAGAATTTCATGAAACTTTGCAGATAGTAAGGACATACTATGTAGATGTGCATATGGACAGGAAATTATGTTTCAATTTTTTTTCTAGAAGTTATGCCCGTTGAACATAGAATTATGGCCTAAATATACAAAATAAAACATGTTTAACCCCGCTGCATTTTTGCGCCTGTCCCAAGTCAGGAGCCTCTGGCCTTTGTTAGTCTAGTATGTTTTTTAATTTTAGTTCATTTATATGTTTTGGAGTTTAGTGTGACGTCCATATTCACTGAACTAGCACACCATTTTATTTAGGGGCCAGCTGAGGACCACCTCTGGGTGCGGGATTTTCTCGCTGCATTGAAGACCCATTGGTGGCCTTCGGCTGTTGTCTGCTCTTTGGTCGGGTTGTTGTCTCTTTGACATATTCCCCATTTCCATTCTCAATTTTAACTGTAACAGTTTGCCATTGCAACTTCTCAGAATCCACACAACAGAATTTCATGAAATTTTGTAGATACTTAGGACATACGTTGCAGATGTGCATATCAACAGGAAATCATGATTCAATTTTTTTTCTTTGAGTTATGCCCCTTTAACTTAAAATTTTGGCCTTAATATACTACTGCCTCAGTTTGTCATCGCAACTCCTCTGAAACTGCGCAACAGAATTTCATAAAACTTTGCAGATAGTAAGGACATACTATGTAGATGTGCATATCTACAGGAAATTATGATTCAATTTTTTTTCTAGGAGTTATCCTAAGAGGTATCTTTGAACATAGAATTTTGATCTATATATACTCCTGCAACCGTTTGTTATCGCAACTCCTCTGAATACACACAACACAATTTCATGAAACTTTGTAGATTATAAGGACATAATATGTTTATGCGCATATCGCCCTGTAATATTTATCAGTTGACTTTTGTAGTTATGTGTTTATGAACTTAGGAATCTAGTGAGATTTTGTTTGCCCAGTGACAGACAATGTGGGGGCGTGGGGTATGTGAGCTCGCTCACAAAGGTTCTTTAATAAAATCTTGTGTACATTCTTAAAAAAATTAATCCCACAAATGTAATGCCCACATTACTCATATAAAAAAGTATTTTGTAGTGACTAGAGAAGACAAAAATCTAGGTTAGCTATAAGTGAAGGATATGAGAGATGAAATTGCAGTTTCATAGATTTCTATTTAAATTATTGCTTTTTATTATGAATGTTTAATTCTTTATGAATAATTTTTCTTTATATTTTTATTTTAGTCTCACAGTTGGTTTGGTAATCTTGTGACCAATGCTAATTGGAGTGAATTCTGGTTGAATGAGGTATGTTTGAGTAGGACAAAGGGAGCTTATTCAATGACATCATTTGATGAAATATAAAAATAATGTCTGAAAAGTTATATAAATTATTTTTTGCAATTTCATTCAGTCTTAAGAATGGATGGAACTCAAATATTAACAAAACTACTTGAGTATCAATGAGGAAAAAATGTTTGGAGACTGCACAGGTTTGAAAAAGAAGTTTTATATTTCTTTTTAAAATTTTGATAACATTATTTTTTATACAGTTATTTATTTAAAGTTTCTATTTGTAAACAGATGATTTAAAACTTAGGATTATTGGTTGCATTATAAAAACACTGTCATTGTCAAGCTAATCTGATACCAATTTACCTATTTACTCTCATCAATCTTAGGGTTAAAACATTAGATTTTATATCATATTATTACATTGTTTGCAAGGAAATACCATGATTTTCCAGTCAAACAAAAATAGATGATTTCACATATAAAATAAATCCTGTTAATTTACTCCTAGGACTTCATACAACAAAAGATCTTGTCAAAATGTTTCAGAAAAAAATACATTAAAGCAATTAAAATGCATGGAAAAAGATAGTTTTTTGCATTTTCTATCTTATTATTAGTAATTTAACATAAAGAGTTAACTAATTCTAGAGTTCAAGTCACCAAAATTATCCAAATACATCTTTTTGTTAGGTAGAAGAAATTTTATGAGGTATTCTTTAAAAATATTAGATTAAATTTACTTTTTCTTTGTTTTTAAACTTTATTTAATATGTTTGTCTTTGTTATTAGTAGTGTGCTTTATGGCTGTTTTGCCCATTGAGTAAACCTCCCTTCTAATTGCACATGTTCGAAGACTGGGTTGTCATCTGCTCCTAAAATGGTGTATGTGGTAAACCACCATTTCCCTGTTCAAAATTGGAAAAAAGTAGCATTGATGGTCAATTTAAAAAAAAAAATGCTGATCATTTAATTGAATAACCAATGTGTTTTGGACTTGATTTCAGAACATTTTGAATTTGTCTCCAGTTTTAGAAACTAGTTCTGATAAGTAATGCTGTTTTATTTTAGAAATCCCCTTTCATAGTACAACATTTAAGTCTTTTAGATTTTTTTCAAGTGTTTAATTTTTTTCAGCTACTAGTAATATGGAACCGTATGATAGATTTATAAACAATTTGATCACCATGATCTACATTTTACAATTAGGTAACATGGAGAAAGTTATTCATTCAAGTCCATTGATATTTTATCACTATAACCACCTTAAATATCAATGAAGGAAATGGTTGGTAGACAGCAATGGTATAATTAAGTTTAATAACATATTATGGGTCACCATTGTCTTCATTACACAATGTCCAGTGGCAAATATTTCACCCAAGGAGTACTGACACCTGTTTTGTATTCTTTTAGATACAACAATTTGTTTTTTTGCAGTTTTCATCTTAATGAGGTAAAAATCAGACCCAGAAGTTATACTTTGTAACCTAATTAATAAATATACCACATACTATGCAATCATTGTATGCTTTTGCTTTTGATAACAACCATAAGTTGATTACAGTTTACAGCTCTCCATCTTTAAGGACTTATAACTTGTTATTTGCATTTAAACTTGAAGGCTGGTTACTGTAAACTAACTTATTTTTGCAGATACTTTATTTCACGGTAAGCCCTTTCTCGCCCACTTTGCAGCAATTTAATTTCTCGATTTTCAAATTCACTTGATGTACTTGGGTAAGGAAAGATCCAAGTTTTAAATTTTTTGATACTATTTATATTTATTTTTCTACTCGCGAAAGTCGCGAAAATTAGTTGGTTTACAGTACTATTTTGACTTTCAATTTTTGAGGGGCAGGGCAAAGTTGCTTGTTAGAATTTTTGCAATGCAATTTAATTACTAACAGTTATTCAATACCTGTGCTGTTGTGGCCAACCAGATATAATGCAGCTTTTCAACACACCATTTTTAAGGCATAGCCATTCTGAATTATGTCTGTGTTGCTATCTAAAAAAGCTTTGAACACAAGATGATACGATGAAATAGATTAGTGTAGTGTATTTTTATAGAACACCAATGTCTTTGTGATATATAGAATAATGATAAAATATACCACTCATCACATAAATTATTGTAATATTGAAATTAAAAAAAATATATATAGTAAGTCCCTTTGTCCTGATCTTTTTACCTCATGAATCATATCAGTCCTTGAGTTAAAGCTGTCAGCCTTGTAATGTTAGACTCTGGCTGATATAAACATTTCATACAATAGTTTATTAAAAGATGAATTTTATGGTATTAAGCATTAAGAACATTGAAAAATATTTCTAGGGTTTTACCATGTTGAAAAATATTTCTAGGGTTTCACCATGTTTGCACAGAGAAGAATAATGGATAAATTGTTTGGTACTGCATACACATGTTTAGAAGCTGAGACTGGCCTAGCATTACTACGACAACACATGGATGATTCAGGGGAGGTAATTATGCAAAAATTTATATAATAATTCAGATGTATTTTGAAATCAAAATGCCACCAAAATATCAAAAGACATCTAGATTTCATAACTTTGTATGTGTTCAAAATTTGCATATTTTTTTCATAATATTTTCCAATTGAATGTTTTCATGCGTTGCACTATGAAGGTAATATTTGTGTATAGTTTTGTATCTAGATTTTATGTGTACCTGCCATGAAACAGGAGAGAAATGAGTTGCATGATACACACGTACAACATAATATTCTATTTTTGAGACAATTTCATGTATATTCAAGCAATTTTAATAAATACTGAATTTGAATGCATTGTTATTTTATTCTGATACAAAAACATATTGAATGTTTCAACAGAACTAGGTGTTTTAGTCATAGGTTGAGTAATATTCTATTTTCCTCATCTACAGGAACATCCACTGAACAGATTACGAGTAATCATAGAACCTGGTGTTGACCCTGATGACACATACAATGAAACACCATATGAAAAAGGATATTGCTTTGTGTCATATCTTCAGCATCTTGTGGGAGATGTGGACAAATTTGACAACTTTCTCAAATCTTATGTGAAGAAATTTCAATTTAAGGTTTGTGTACTGGTACAATATGGATGAAGTATAAAAATTGTATGCAAATGAAAATATAAGTACATGTATTAATACCAACATACTTATTGTTGAAGTGGCTGTATGGTGACCTCCAGTTGCTAAAATCTGTCATTTGGTCTTTGATCTCATTTTTCAATCATGCAGCATTTTCTTATTTTTATATGGCATAAGAGAGTTGTTTCTTGCACCCTTGACATTGTTGTATGAAATATGTAGGTGATATTTCAGTGTAATAGTTGTGTTGTCAGCAGATAGAATACTCACCATTCTAGTTTAGTCAAAGCAAAGTTCATGGTTGAGTCCAGAAGCCTTGTCAGTAGTTATCAATGCCTTTTAATTTTGATGTTTAATTGTGGGATACCGGGTATGTAGTCAACTTTCACATTTTCTTAATTTCTTAGGTCTGATATGCCTTTTTGAGCTTGCTATATGATGTGGCATATTAAATCAAAAAGAAGGTAATCTCTCAATGATTTTGTTTATTTTGAAATCAGATGTTGTTATATTGAATGAATTTCTGTGTCATTTGGTCTCTTGTGGAGAGTTGTCTCATTGGCACATCTTCTTTTTTATATATAAATGTATAAATGTACAATTGCCTTTGTATAGAGTGGCATCTCTGTATGGACACAGGTTATGGAATATGATCTAGAATAACAATGCAAGTGTAGTTTGTTTTAGACTTTTCTTTAAATTAATTAGAAATTATTCAGAAATAAAAAGTTTTTAATTTTCTTAAGTTTTATGTGGAATTTTGTGTAATGTCCTTGCTGAAAAGTTCTCAGATGTGTGCAATATTTGCAAACTAATGATTTTTTTTGTCTCGACTGCAACGAAATCGCAGAAAGCAAGACATAGTGATGGCTTTTTGACAACAACAATGGCTCTGGCGTCAATAATTGTTAAGTTTTCTGCTTAAGTTAGCTTGATAGGATCTACTTATGATAGATCAATGATATTTTATATGAATTGCATTACTATCAGTACATATCAGATTGATACTATTTTGAGGCCCTGCTCCCTAGGACATGGTCCAGTGACTTTAACTTAATTAGCAACTTTTAATGTTAAATTTTCTGCTTAAGTAAGTTTGATAGGATCTACTTGTGATAGATGAATGATATTTTGTATGCAGTTGCATTACTATCAGTACATATCAGTTTGATGACTATTACTTGGCCCTGCCCCCTAGGACATGGTCCAGTGACTTTGAATTAATTAGCAATTTTCAATGTTAAGTTTTTCTGCTTAAGTTAGTTTGATAGGATTTACTTGTGATAGATCAATGATATATCGTATGAAGTTGCATTACTATCTGTTCAAATGAGTTTGATGACTATTTCGAGGCCCTGGGACATGGTCCATAGACTTTAAATTAATTAGCAATTTTCAATGTTAAGTTTTCTGCTTAAGTAATATTGATAGGAACTACTTCACAATAAAAACGATATTTTCTTTAAAGTTACATGGCAGTTTGTCGATCATTTTCAGGCCCTGCCCACTAGATCATGGTCCAGTGACTGAATTTATAAGCAATGTTGCTGTCCATCAGATTGTCTTTTTCTGAATTTTATGCTGAAAGGCGATTTCATATCTCTGTGTCAACAGTTTATTTATAATTTCAGAGCTTGGTAGCAGAAGATACTTTAGAATTCTTTTTTGAATCGTTTCCAGAATTAAAAAGTAAACAAGTAGATAAAAAGTAAGTATAGTTTAGGTCATTAATCATTAAACCATGAGCCAAAGAAACACACAAGTTGGATTTGTTGTCCTTGGAATACATTTATTATTTATAGTTTCAAATTATTTTTGAGGTTCCCTTCAACAAAGCATGGGCTTTTTCATTTCATTACATAATGGTTCTTCTGAAGTAAAGGAACTCCTTCTATATCCTGAAAACCGTTATGTCACCAAACTTCTGCATACTGCAGTAGTTTAAGCCATTTTGCACTTATTCATTTTTTTCTACGTCTTTTATGCTTTTCTTTGAATTGAAAGAGTCTTATCATTATGTGTATGAGTTAACAAAATATAAATTGTGAGCTCAATTCATAATGTATATATACACAGTCAAATTTTGTTGACGGGAAATTAACGTGAAATCATTTGAAATTAACGTGAATATCACATGAGCAAAATTTGACTGTGTATAGATTCCACCACTACAGCCAGTGTTATATGATATTTCTCTGCTCAAGGCAGTTAACTTTTCAAATCTTTTCAAATCTAAATGTAAAAATTCAACTGTCAAGAATGGATGAATATCATATTACACAAGACTTGGTGTTAGCATCTGTGTCTCTAATAAATTTTAGATGATGTGTATGCAAACTTTATCTTTCATTTTCAATGATCTCTAAAAAAGATGTGCTCTTTCTATGTGACATCATCAGGCATTGTCGCCTTTTTAACTCACCTGGCCCAAAGGGCCAAGTGAGCTTTTCTCATCACTTGGCGTCCGTCGTCGTCGTCTGTCGTCGTCGTCCGTCGTCGATGTCCGTTGTCGTTAGCTTTTTACAAAAATCTTCTCCTCTGAAACCACTGGGCCAAATTTAACCAAACTTGGCAACAATCATCATTAGGGTGTCTAGTTTAAAAAATGTGTCCGATGACCCTGCCAACCAACCAAGATGGCCACCATGGCTAAAAATAGAACATAAGGGTAAAATGTAGATTTTGGCTTATATCTCTGAAACCAAAGCATTTAGAGTAAATCTGACATGGGGTAAAACTGATTATCAGGTCAAGATCTATCTGCCCTGAAATTTTCAGACAAATCTGACAACCTGTTGTTGGGTTGCTGCCCCTTTTAAGGAAATTTTGCAGTTTTTGGTTATTATCTTGAATATTATTATAGATAGAGATAAACTGTAAACAGCAATAATGTTCAGCAAAGTAAGATCTACAAATAAGTTGTCATTGACCAAAATTGTCAGTCGACCCCTTTAGGAGTTATTGCCCTTAATAGTCAATTTTTAACAATTTTTTGTAAATTTTTGTAATCTTTTACAAAAACTTCTTCTCTGAAACTACTTAGACAAATTTAATCATACTTGGCCATAATCATTATTAGGGTATCTATTTTGAAAAATTTGTCCGATGACCCCGCCTTCCAACCATCATGGCCGACGTTAAAAAATAGAACATAGGGGTAAAATGCAGTTTTTGGTTTATATCTCTGAAACTAAAGCATTTAGAGCAAATCTGACAGGTGGCAAAAATTTTCATCAGATTTAGATTTATCTGCCCTGAAATTTTCAGACGAATCCGACAACCCGTTGTTGGGTTGCTGCCCCTCAGTTAGTAATTTTACAAAAATTTTGCAGTTTTTGTTATTATCTTAGATATCATTATAATATCTAATATCTAATACTATTAATTATGATTTTAACCTTATTTTACATGATTTCCAAAGCATCAGTAAATACAGGTGAGCGACACAGGCTCCTGAGAGCCTCTAGTTTTATAAAGTCACAATAACAAAAGCAGGGGAAAGCAAGAAAATATGACGTCATAATCACATTTTGACCAATGAGATTTAACAAAGCACATGTTAAGAATAATCAACAGGTTGAAAACAGAATAAATCTGCTAAGAATTAGAGAAATATTTAGACTGTCAATTTTTTATATTCACAGAGAAGGATTTGAGTTTGATAAATGGTTAAACACTCCTGGATGGCCACCATATGTTCCAGATTTATCTGCTGGTAAGGAATTGACAAAGCCTGCAGAAGAACTTGCCAACTACTGGGCTGGAGAAACAAAGACAGGAGTAAGTAAGATGTACAACAAGACTACAAAATATGATTCTGTGATTGTTGGTTAGACAGCTTTATTTTTGAAACAATATATAGTTAATAAAATTTTCTTACAAGAGATAAGATTTTGCTAGCTATTATATAGGGGTTTATATACTGTAAATTCAGAAATTTGCACTTGCATTAATACTGCAATTGTTGAACAATAAACACATGGTGTGATTAATTATGGTGATTTCAGGAATTGGTGCTAAGGTAAAATGTAACTAAATTTAAAATGCAAGTTTTTATTTTTTTAATTATAAAAACATTGCAGAAAATTTCTGAATAAACAGTAGTAATTAAGGACATATCCACTAGATTAAACTCATCATGAGATTTTTTCACATAATGGGTAATTACTAATATAGTCCTGATTGATGAGACCATGGAAGTATTATATTGACAGGAACTCCAACAAACCAACTTCAAACGTGTATAGTGCGATGCCGCAAAATCGTTAAGTATCTGTAAAATTAACTCGACATGTCATATAGATGCATGGGTTCCGATCAAATTTTTGGAACCTCGTGATTGATCGTAATTACGGAACATACCGAAATAACCGGATGTGTACTTAATTGTCAAGGAAATGACATTTACTGACCATTTCACTAAATGAAAAATATGTCAGTTTTGACGGGTTTTGCTGCGTAAAAACAAATATAAAATAACAAACAAAATCCCCGCGACTGTTTTCACAAGTCAAATGAAGAGATTAAAAAATACTCACAAGCCATAAACATTTTAGTTTTAGTTACAATCAATTTAAATAGTAAGATTTTTATTCATGAGATGGCTGTTGACTAAACATGCATATCTGTTAAAAATATACATGCTAGGCTTGAAAATCATAAAATTCTTATAAACAGTAAACAGAAAAGTTTTTATCAGCAATCATTATCGCGTTTTACTGCTAACTTTGACAAATATTTTAATTAAGTGTTAAATGAAAGAATTTCCAACAAAAATTTGTTCCAAAAGTTGGTTCCCCGTAGCGGCGGGGCCGGGGAGAGGTTAAAGGGCTTTGAACGGAAAAAATATCATAGATTTTGATTAATTGTTTACTGAAAGTCCGATGGCAAATACTTCATGCAAATCAACAAGAAACAAAAATATAAATTGCTTAACATACAATGTAAGATGTTTCAGAACTGTTAAGCATTTAAACACAGAAATAAATTCAAATTTGATTCCCATGATAAAACTTTTAAGAATAAAAGATATTATACTGCTTAAGGCTCATCATGGTGATCGTTCTTTAAATGCATCCAGAAATATTTAAAGTTAAGCCATTCGCAAAAACAATCTGTCAGACGTCAGAGCAATCTCGGACTAGGTTGAAGGTTTAAGGTTGTTTATAACTTTGGAATTATAATAAAAGGTGTAAAAATTCCGTCTCGTAACCCCGTACATGCTATGTAGAGGTCATCACGTGCGTGTAACTATTAACCTCTATTAGTCTTTAAAGCATATTTGATAAATATGTTAATAACATTTTTCTACATTAAGAAGATAGAGAAAACCATAAATATTTTAGTAACATTCAATAAAAATTTACAACCTTTAACTTAAATTTGAGCTATTCTTTGCCATCTTACACACTACAGGCGCATCACATTATTTTCCACAAACACCCGACTTTAGGTACATGTAGTTTTTAATATTGGATATTTCCCGATTTCCAAGTTCCAATGATTAAAACATATTAAACAAAACTAAAAATAATCTTGCCCTCTTTCTGAATGCAGTTAATTTTCTTATGTCATTCTGCTAAATATGGACCGATTTTTTAGATCGTTTCAGCCTTTGCCTTCATTTATTGAATGGAAACAGGTGTCGTAATTCATGTGGCGATTCACAAATAACCACTGGAGTTTCACGTGATAAGACCAGCTTCAGTTAACAGAACAGGCGAAGGCGGCATCGCAGATACCCCACAAAGGAGTTATCACGTACTTGACAAACTGTGTCGGAACCTTTTATTTTCTTAAAGAAATCAGTGGGATGGGAATGTGCTAATTTTTGGAAAGTTTGCTATAGCTTGCTATAGCTACTTTCCTAAGGCGTCGGACTCAAACTTCCGGTGACAGACCACCGCAAATGTTCTGCTCCAACATAATGTAGTACTAGTGTTTGAATATTGATTCCAGGAAGACGCTTTTGAAATTTTGAGTTTCTACTCTTTTGAAAAGATTACAGCTAAAATAAAACAGGAATGAATGTTCAGCGACAATTCAGATGAATTTAACTTGATTTTGAAAATGAGTATCACAAACACTACTTCGCAGATCTGCCATGCGCTGAAGAGAAAATCAGAAGAAATCTATGTGAGACAGCGTTTCATTCATGAATATTTCATGAATGAACATTTTCCAGCGCTATTTTTACTACGTACGATACTTACAAATGTTTATTATTGAATAAGTAAATGCCCGAGTGTATTGAAAGAATCTGGTGTGATTGACTGAAATGCGAGAACAAGTTGATATTTTGACCAAGGCGTCGGATAATTGACAAGTGATAATGGTTTGATTGAACAATACACAGGTGATAGAATAAAAAATACTCGATAATTATCTGGCTAATGTGTCACGCCAAGGATCAGTAAAGGTAAATACCGGCTTTGATAGAAAAGTGCATTGTTTTTGTCAAAACATCAATCGGAAGGTTTTGATGCCAAAAATCATTTGAAAACTTTTAATTCCATTATTTAAATACTAGCTGTTTCACATTCCAATGTGGATATAAGGACCTTCACTCGTTCAGCATGCTCAAGTGGATCAAACTGACAGCAGAAAACATTGACTCAACGACAATTCGTATCAACTATCATAGCCTCCTAATCAGTGTTACGGTTAACAACTACATTTGTACACAAATTGTTACAAGGATAAGGCTTGTATTAAAAGTAACCGAGTCAGCATCTACTTCTTAGCTCAGTGTATCAAGACAAGTGTTGTAGAAATTATTAACATGATTAAATAACATTTGTCCATGTACTAGCAAAATGACTTTCTTAGTGCTTAACAATGCAGTGGCGGATCTAGAACTTTTTATCCTCACACTTTATTCCTGGGGCAGTTTGATTCTTTAAGATTGACCTATAATTAACAATGTGTCATCCAAACACAGAGGCAATGATTACTAGTATATCAAATGAATGGCTTAAAACCAAAAATCTCAAATGTTATTGCCTAAATGCTAAATTTCACAGCAGCAACTAAAATGTGTTACAGGGTTATAAGCACCTCTATGAATCTAGTGTATATATAAACTTTTTATTCCTGTGGTCATACTGCTATTATTATGCCCCCACCGTATTGAGTTTTATCCTTGTTCTTCTGTAAGTATGTACGTCCCTTACTTGTACGTACGTCCGTAAATCCCTAAATTGGTTTCTGTTTTCTTACTTGAGTTTGCCTGAACCAAATTGTATGAAACTTATACGCAATGCTTATTACCACAAAACACAAGTCAAATTTGAATTTTGGGGGCGTCACTTTTACCATTCTAGAGTTATATGCTCCTTTACAAATAGAAAAGTTGCTGGAATTTTTAGTTTCTGTTCTCTAACTTTAGTTTGTCTTAACCAAATGTTATGAAACTTACACACAATGCTCATTACAACAAAACACTGATCAAATTTGAATTTTGGGGGCGTCAGTTATACCGTTCTAGAGTTACGCCCCTTTACAAATGTAAAAATTGCTGAATTTTTTCGTTTCCGCTATCTTACTTTAGTTCGCTCAACCAAATGTTATGAAACTTATACACAATACTTTTAACCATAAAACCAAGATCAAGTTTGAATTTAGGTGGAGTCATTTTTAGATCACCTGGCCCAAAGGGCCAAGTGAGCTTTTCTCATCACTTGGCGTCCGTCGTCCGTCGTCTGTTAACTTTTACAAAAATCTTTTCCTCTGAAACTACAAAGCTAAATTTAACCAAATTTGGCCACAATCATCACTAGGGTATTTAGTTTTGAAAATGTGTTTGATGACCCGGTCCGCCAACCAAGATGGCCGACATGGCTAAAAATAGAACATAGGGGTAAAATGCAGTTTTTGGCTTATATCTCTGAAACCAAAGCATTTATAGCAATTCTTACAAGGGGGTTAAATTGTTTATCAGGTCAATTTCTATCTGCTCTGAAATTTTCAGACGAACCAGACAACCCGTTGTTGGGTTGCTAACCCTTAATTGGTTATTTTAATGAAATTTTGCAGTTTTTGGTTATCTTGAATATTATTATAGATAGAGATAAACTGTAAACGGCAATAATGTTCAGCAAAGTAAGATCTACAAATAAGTCAACATGAACAAAATTGTCAGTTGACCCCTTAAGGAGTTATTGCCCTTTAGAGTCAATTTCTTAACAATTTTTCGTAAATTTTTGTAATCTTTTACAAAAATCTTCTCCTCTGAAACTACTGAGACAAATTTATCTAAACTTGGCCACAATTATCATAAGGGTTTATAGTTTCAAAAACGTGTCCGATGACCCCGCCCACAAACCAAGATGGCCGACATGGCTAAAAATAGTACATAGGGGTAAAATCCAGTTTTTGGCTTATATCTCTGAAACCAAAGCATTTAGAGCAATCTGACATGGGGTTAATATGCTAATCAGGTTGAGATCTATCTGCACTGAAATTTTCAGATGAATCAGACAACCCGTTGTTGGGTAATTGGTAATTTTAAGGAAATTTTGCCGTTTTTGGTTATCTTGAATATTATTATAGATAGAGATAAACTGTAAACAGCAATAATGTACAGCAAAGTAAGATCTACAAATAGGTCTGCATGACCAAAATGGTCAATTGACCCCTTTATGAGTTATTGTCCTTTATAGTCAAATTTTAACAATTTTCATAAATTTTGTAAATTTTTGTAATTTTTTACAAAATATTTTCCTCTGAAACTGAAAGTTCATTATTTGAAATAATACACATCTATAACCTATTTGAAATAATACACATCTATAACCTATTTGAAATAATACACATCTATAACCTATTTGAAATAATACACATCTACAGTTGCAAACTTTCCAGAGGTGCTATCCTGCACTTTGATTCGTTTGAGTTCCTGTCGATTTAATACTTCCATGATGAGACTGAATTTGTTTTCATGGAAATACAGGGTAAAATAGGGATGATTTTTCCAACTTGCCAACATATTATTTTAACACTGTAACTCCATACGATGTAGTGAGCAATAATTTGCTAGTTCTTAATACAGATTATGGAAAATGGATAATATGTCCTTCAATAGCAGTAACTTATTTAATGAAGAGGAATTCATTGGGCCTAAAGCTCGTTAGCTTTGATGTATATTTATTTAATTTGAAAGATGTATTTTAGATTTTTAAACAATTTCTGAATGAAGGGAGGAAACCCATTTGCATTTTAAAATGTGAACATTTATTTCAGGGTGACACAGATATAACTAAATGGAAGACATATCAAGTTCTTCATTTCTTGGACAAAGTCCTGGAGAAAGCTAGTGTACCTGACAGTTCTATTAAAAAGATGGTTGAACAATACCCAGCCATTTCACAGACACATAATGCTGAGGTTCGATAAGTTTAATTATGAATTTATTTATAAATAAACAAATTTACTATTTTTAATTCTTCATGAATTACAGTTTCTGTGATAAGGTCTATTTTACTTACAAGAGAAATGTGGAGAGTTGTTTTCTATGCAAAATTCTCTTCTTAATACCAACAGGATCAAAGGATTTTTGTATATATATATAAATATATTTGTTTTTTATGGTAAAACATAATTTTCAGCAGTCATTTTACATATTAATTGTGCCTTTCAAAGGTTGTCATTTTCAGAAACAAATTATGTAAGCTTGATTTTTGACTCATCTGCAATGAAAGTATGTTTATAATTTTAAAATTTTTAGATGCCTTAATTGCAATGCAGGTTCCTTATGCATATCAGATTTCTGCAGGTGTAATACCACCAAATCATGGTACGTCACATTCGGTTGCATACGAAAATAGGTAGAAAAAAAATATTCCCTTGAATTTGACAGTTGTAGGTAATTGATCCTACATTTCATTGCATTAAAACATTTCTGGGTCATAAACATATATCTTGGGTATTTCAAAGCACCATTATTTATTTATTTGGGGTTTCTATAGAATATTTTGGAAACTTGAGGTTACATGGTTACTAAAGCTTGTACACAGGTTAAAAAAGAGGAAAAATTTGATTGGTTTACTTCCAGTGATGGTTATTTTCTTATATGCAATGAAATGTTATGTGAAATTTTTTGGTCGTATATTGGTATCACGTTGTCGTCAGAGTCGTCGGAAGACAGATGGTTTCCGGATAATAACTTTAGTATAAGTAAATAGAAATCAATAAAAGTTTAACACAAGGTTTATAACCACAAAAGGAAGGTTGGGATTGACTTTGGGGGTTATGGTTCCAAAGGTTTAGGAATTAGGGGCCAAAAAAGGGGCCCAAATAAGCATTTTTGCAGTTTCCAGACAATAACTTGTGTTTAAGTGTATGAATCTCTCTGAAATTATACCACAAGTTTCCATACAACAAAGGGATGGTTATGGCTCAAACCATTTAGCAATTAGGGGCAAAAAAGGGGGAAAAACAAGGGTTTTTATGGTTAAAGGACAATTTAGACAATTTAAAAGCAGTGTAAGGGAGGTAATCCAATCCATTTAAAGAATACTGTTGTATATATGTTTGATTACCTCCCTTACACTGCTTGTAAATTATGTATTAAGAAATGATGATTGTCTTGAGATGATTAGCAGTAAATTTATTTTTAGAAGTTACTATTAATTAATATTAATTTTAACCATGACTGTATGTCATTTTATATTTTAATATTTTATGATGTATTTAAATGAATAGTTTTAGAAATTTTAATTGAGATTATTTTTGGAATAAGGGAAAGGGGGAGTTGAAAAAAATTTTTTTTGGGGGGGGGGGGGGGGGGGGGGGTAAATAAGAATTTGTGTGGGGGAGGGGGCTACAATTTTTCTCATTTCAGATTTCAGAAATAAAAAAAAAAAATTCTTCAAATATTTTTTTTTTGGGGGGTGGGGTTCAACAGCATAGTGCATTGCACAAAAGCAAAAAATTGAATATAAATTCAAATTATATAACCAATTTTAAGTTCTTTGACTACACTTATTCTGTGTCAGAAACCTATTATGTGTCAAATATTTAATTACAATCCAAATTCAGACCTGTATCAAGCGAGCGAATAATGTGTCCATTTTGGCCGCAACTTTTCAGGGTTGGACATCTGCGGTCGTATCCAGCTGCGCTCAGCGAAGCAATTTATTCTATAGTACTGGACGGGATAAAACTTTACTCATGCCAAGTATTTCTTTATTTCAAACAAAGATAAATTCTGCACAACGTTTTGAAAAGTGCAAATTTAACAAAGACTAATAGGGAAAAATCAATGGTGGTATTACACCTAATATGGGAAGCTGTACATGCATGCACCTTTGACCTTGTGAGTACTGTCATGTGTTAAAATTTCTTGCTATTTAAGTGAAATATTACAAATATTGAAATATTCTGATTGGATTGAGTCTCCAAAACACATTTTATGAGAAAATTTCCTTGAAATAGGACTTTACCATGAATATTAGTTGACAGAACAAGCCATACTTAGAGTTTTGGGGAGCTTTTTCTCCTTATTTCTTATATTCTGCTTTACTAGAAATTTTTTCCTAAGAAATACTTTAATAAATATATAGTTTTAAGTAAATGAAATTATTTTTAAAGCAGTAACAACAAATTATTCACCAAAAGAGAAGCTTTTTATGTCCCTCTCTGGAACGCGGCGTAAATTTAAGTTTTATGTAAGGACTTATTGAAACCTCCTTGGAGACAGTAAACTTTTATACGGATAGTTCATTCAACTTGAATACTTCAATTAATTATTTATTATAACATGTCTATCATAAATGAGTGAAAGTTACCCCAAAATTTTTATTTATTGGTCTAAAAAGTAGAAATTTTGAGGAAATGAGAGGTATAAATGGACCAAAAGAGACATTATAAGGAAGACTTAGAGGTCAATTAGTAGTATTTATCATCCTAAAGTCATCTTTTGTATCATATTCAACTGATTGTAGGCAAATGAGATAAATATTTGATCATTGATTGGTCCACACTATGTTCTATCATGATGCAGCTTGGTTTGGATTTTTCGAAGAAATTTTGCTCGTCGCTGTAGATGTCGTCTTACATTATACTATATTTTTTTTTTCAAACTATTGAACTGATTAGTACAAAACTTGACAGGAATGCTTGAAATAACCAGTATTACAAAGGAAAAAAGTCACATTCAGTTTATTTAACAAAAAAGTCTTCTTTAGGTGTAATACCACCAAATCATAGTACGTCTCATCCGGTTGCATACGAAAATAGGTCGAAAAAAATATTCCCTTGAATTTGACAGTTGTAGGTTGATTGATTGTTGGTGTTTTAACGCCACTTTTGGGCTATTTCGTGGCGGCCAGTTTTTATTGGTGGAGGAAGCCGGAGTGCCCGGAGAAAACCACCGACCTTCGATAGGAAAACTGACAATCCTAGTCAATTAAGATTGGAGTCGAGTGCACCCACACGAGCGGGGTTCGAACTCACAACCTCAGTGTTGACTGGCTAGTGATTACAGTAGTAGAACTACTTAGACCACTTGGCCACCGAGGACAGTTGTAGGTAATTGATCCTACATTTCATTGCAGTAAAACATTTTTGGGTCATAAACATATATCTTGGGTATTTCAAAGCACCATTATTTTTTTATTTGGGATTTCTATAGAATATTTTGGAAACTTGAGGTTACATGGTTACTAAAGCTTGTACACAGGTTAAAAAAGGGGGAAAATTTAATTGGTTAACTTCCAGTGATGGTTATTTTCTTATATGCAATGAAATGTTATGTGAAATTTTTTCTATAGTACTGGACAGGATAAAACTTTACTCATGCCAAGTATTTCCTTATTTGAAACAAAGATAAATTCTGCAGAACTTTTTGAAAAGTGCAAATTCAACAAAGACTAATAGGGGAAAATCAATGGTGGTATTACACCTGCAATTGTTAATGATTTGATAATATTTTGAATTTTTTAACCAGTAACTTTTTTTTAATTAATTGAATGACCCAAGCTCTATGTATTCTGAATCTGAGTGATTTGCTGATAAATGTCTATTCTTTTATTACAGGTACGTCTAAGATGGTCACAGATCAACATAAAGAACAACTACATACAAGATATTCCAAACATTAGGGCCTTCTTGATCAGCCAAGGTAAGAATATTATTATGTGGATAATGGGGTCAGATTTTTAAGGTGGGCAATGGTACAACGTCTGAAATAATTTTGTTTATTCAAACATATTTGTTAACCGGATTTTCGAAGGAAATATTGGTTATTGATTTGGGGATGTACGGGCGGGCGGGCGGGCGGACGGACGGACGTGCGGCTGCCAAACAGTGTCTCCTCAATAACATGAAAACTCTTTGACAATTTTTTTTCAAATTTGGATATGTTGTTACATGTGACAAACTGAAGGTCAAGTTCAATTTTCACGATTTTAGCTTTTCTCCTTGTTGAGTTATCGCCCTTTTTAATATCCAAAAGTGGTATTTTTAATGTGATTGAGTTATTTCTCTTTGAACAGAAATGATATATTATATATTTGAAGTTTGATTACACTAACCTGACTAATTTTCACATCTTGATAGATAAGAGCATCTGGTAAATGTCTCACACAATTACAATTGGATTGACAGATTTATTTGAAAATTTTCTGTTTTCTAAGTGTTGATGACTATAAGCTATATAGGACTGTATAAATAAAGTTAGAAATTACTGTTCATTATTAGACATTTTGAAGATAATTACAGATAAGTTTTATAGATTTTTAAAAGTCATTGTATTAATGATAAATAAAATTTTGAATTTTTTTCTTTTCTCTGGTAAATTGTTTGAAGAATTTTGTGGTAGGTTGGTTTGTTATTCTGTAAAAACTAATTTTCTGTATGCTTTATATATTTTTTTATAAAGTGAACTACTTTAATAAGATAATAATCTATTTTTATTATAGGATATATTTCATTACATTTAAAATTGTTGACATTGATAAGTTGCAGATCTGTATTAGTTTGTGATAAATGAAAGAAAAATATTTGGAACTATTAATTATATTTGATTATAATTTTAAAATAGATATACATTGTGTTACATCATATCTTATTTTAGAGAATTATTAATCATGAATCATATCTAATGTAGAGTACTACATGTATGTTAAACCATATTTCTGTTCAAAGGGAAATAACTCAAACTTACTCCATGAACCAGTAATGATAAAATCAAAATTTCATTACTGCAAATACAGAAATTATTACGTGCTTTTATTATTGTGAATTTTAAAGAAGGGACACGAACGAGAGATTTATTATTGCGATTTCAGGAAAATCTGAATACACTTTTAAGTATCAGATATCAGAATGCGAGTTCTTATTATTGCGATTATCACCCATTCGCATTATTCGCATTAAAAAAAACCTCGCAATAATTTCTGAATTTACAGTATAACTATTTTTTTTTTATTTAGAAGGATGCAAAAGTCATGATTTTGAAGGACACCTGTAATAACTTTGCCTAAAACTAAGTTTGCATGATAAACATGAATGATGTGAACTCCATAGTTTGTTTAACTGACAATAGTCTCATTGCATTTTAGTAGTCTGTCTAACATCTACTTACATCTACTTTCAAGAATTTTTGTTTGTTAATAATCATCTATGATTCATGAACCTAATCTATTGCTTTGTGGATGAGATTTGAATGGTTGATAGTTTGAATGAAACTCAAATATGCCTACACTTGTAACACTTGTATTAAGTATGAGCTCATAATACTCATTATTGCTATTTTACGAAATTTTCCTTTGATCTATTGACTGATAATTTCCTTTCTCAGCACAGTAGAGTGATATGAAAAATTATCACTAGGAACTAAGGGCGCACATGCTGTTGTCAATGTAAACATCAACGTCGTCATAGGCAAAATTATATATTGAAAATAGCGATAAACAGATTATGATTGGTCATCTCAACTCAATTGCTTTTCTCACTTTCAAAGTACCGGCTCAAACGAGAAAATCAATCTTGTTGAGATGACCAATGATAATCTATAAATAAAGAATATCTGCAAGCATAAAAGTCTGCTTACTAGAATGAAGACTCTTCATATCAGGTTAATAAGAAGTGTATATATTTTATAGTTGCCTGTATATATTTGAAGTAGTAATGTTGACTACAGATGGTTTTGGTTTGATATGTCATTTAGTTGCTGTCTTAATGGTGCATTAATAGTATTTTCCCTAAACTCTTTTCTGTAATCAGTAGGTTTACTCTAAAATTATAATTTGAAGCAGGTTATTCCCTTGTTGGGCAGTAGAACTGCATCACAATGGTCTTTTGTCTTCCATCATACTTGTATGTAATCAAACTTGATTATAAAGCTGGAAACATTTATAATTTAAAGTAACACATTGTATTCAATTACTTCACATTATTGTTCTGCACTGCAATGAACAAGCATTTATGCTAGTATATTTTTCCAACAAGAGAAATAATTTGTATTCAATTGTTATGTCTAGTCTTTTTTCGATTTTTGATCTTTACCATGTCATTGTAAGTTTTTTTTTACTTATGAGTTTGAATGTCTCTTTGGTATCTTTAACCTCTCTTATACACTAATGTTTAATTGTAGGAAAACAGAAATACACATTACCTGTATATAAAGCTTTAATGAAGAGTTCTGATGAGATGAAGAAATTTGCCAAGGACGTCTATGAAGAGACAAAGAGTATGCTTCACGTTAATGTCAGAAACTATTTTGAGGAAATTCTGCAGAGATAAATATGTAATTGTACCTGTTTTGTTCCAAAACTGTATTAGGCAATATAATGCATTCAAAAAATAAACTTATTTTTGGACCAGTTATCTAAGACTATTCACAGTAATATTGTGACCAATGATAAACAAATGTGAATAAATATTGGTATAGATATTGGTTTGTCTACAAAACTTAGTAATCTGAATTTGACCAGACAAGGTCTGAGTAATTCTTAATCAGTTTTCTATTAAAGATATATGTCAACTTTTGTTTAAGAAAAACAGAACAAAATTAGCAATTGCAGACTTCGTGGGCTAAATGTTTCTGAAATGGTTCTATGGACCACCGACCTAATATGGATGATGCTAATTTGTAGTCAAGGAGTAGTAAAATATCCCCATCAGTCAGTGAGAGTTCTGTGGGAGGCATTTTCAAGAGGTACATAATACTGGTCAGCTAAGATGATCATTGTAGGAATAAAGGAAACATGAATTTGTATTACTCACCATGCATCCTTTATAATTACTGTTATTTTAATATTTTTAATGATTTCACAAAGTTCTACAGGAGACTTAAAAATAATGTGTACCTTAATGATGTATTGTACTATTGAATATTAGTAACAGGCAAAAGGCAGTTTATGTATGTGAGACAGCAACTCAAAAATGCAACCAAAATACATCTAGAGGTAAACTTTCTGCCTTCAACATTAGACAAATGTGTATACAATTTGTCAAGTTCTAAATCGTCCCAAGTATAGACTAGGAGTAAAACAATGGAATCATGCACCTGCCTTCACCATGAAATTTCCTTAAAGACAAAAGCATAGTTCACTTGTGATCTTACATTGAGGTATGTCAAAGACACCATTTTGTAGTCACAATATCAAAGATATTGACAATAAGAAATAGATATTTATAGCTACCTTATCTTAATCTTAGCCAATTTCAAAGAGTCCTGATGATGCTATTAAAAGTGGATTTAGATACCCATTTGATGTCATCAATATTATTGATATCTTGTTTAAATCAAGTCTTGGACATACCAATATCCATATTTAAAATTTCTGTTATCGATTCTCTCAGTTGACTCTGTTTTCATTTGTCTCTGGTGTCAATATTAACAACATCATTTTATTGTTGACAATTGCAGCTTCTTGTTCACCTGTTGAAGATTTTTTATATCAACAATATTTGAATACTGACATTCCAAATTGACCTTATGATTTGTTTCTCTAAACTAATGTTCTATATATTCATTAACTAAATGGTGATGTCTGTAATATAGGCACTTAAAATTTCCCCTTATTAATTAAAATTAAAATGAACTAACTCTATATTTACTGCTACAGTTATCCACATCTTAATTTGATATTATTTGATAAAGTCAGTTTCGTTATCTATTTAATATCGAATGGACATGCACGATATTGACATCTCATGATTGTCGGAAGTGATTTTCGATGTTAATTCCTTATAATGTTCACATTGATGATATTGAAATGTGGGTAAGTCTTGAACAGTGGATGTTGTTGGTTGCTGCTGCGGCAGAGGGGGCATTAAGTTTTACCCTTGTCCATCTGTACTTTTTTTTATACTACCAAAAATTAGTTTCCGTTTGTTAACTTGAGTTTGCCTCAACCAAAAGTTATGAAACTTATACGTAATGCTTATTACCACCAAACACAGATCAAGATATGAAGCAGACCTCTTAGTTTCGTTAGTATATTTAATTTCAAGTTAACTAGGATAGAAGAAATGAAAGCACTCATTAAGATGAGGGTTTCTGGCTGACAGGGCATCATCAATATATCTGAAAGTGAAATTAGACAACTTTAAAGGTGTTTTTTTTTCTTTTTGTCTTGAAGAAGGTTTTGTAATAAATTTTAAACATTCGATGTAAATCAACACTCCTACTGGAAACAGCTTTCATGTATTGATCTTATGGTGGTTAACTTTTGAAAATAGATTACAAACAGAACATGGAATGTAAATATAATACTCCAGAAAATTATTTGAACGTTCAGAATTTTGAACTTATTAAAGGCAAGCCACAGACCGAAGCATATATTTATCTCTGCCAAAGGGAATAAAAATAACAATAGTTATTATGGCTGTTTCTGTGATTTTTATACAACTGCAAAAAAATTTTGCGGTCGTGTATTGGTATGACGTTGTCATCGTTGTTGTCGTCGTCTGAAGACACATTGGTTTTCGCACTCTAACTTTAGTTGAAGTGAATGGATCTCTATGAAATTTTACCATAAGGTTCAATATCACAAAAGAAAGGTTGGGATTGATTTTTGGGGTTCTGGTACCAACAGTTAAGGAATTAGGGACCAAAAAGGGGCCAAAAATAAGCATTTTTGTAACTTCCAGACATAACTTGTGTGTTATTGTATGGATCTCTCTGACATTGTACCACAAGGTTCTATATCACAAAGGGAATGCTGGGATTGATTTTGGGGGTAATTGCCTCAAAATTTTAGGAATTAGGGGCCAAAAAAGGGGCAAAAACAAGCATTTTTCTAGTTTCATGACAATAACTTGAGTGTTAGTGTATGGATCTTTCTGAAATTGTACTACAAGGTTCAATATCACAAAGCGAAAGCTGGAATTGAGTTTGGGGGTAATTGTCAAAAACGTTTAGGAATAAGGGGCCAAAAATAAGCATTTTTCTAGTTTCAGGACAATAACTTGTGTTCAAGTGTATGGATCTCTCTGAAAATGTACTGCAAAATACCATACCACAAAGGGAAGGCTGGGATTGATTTTGGGGGTAATTGCCTCAAAATTTTAGGAAAAAGGGGCAAAAAACAAGCATTTTTCTAGTTTCAGGACAATAACTTGTGTGTAAGTGTATGGATCTTTATGAAATTGTACTACAAGGTTCCATATCACAAAGGGAAAGTTGGGTTTGAGATTGGGGGTAATTGCCCTAAACGTTTAGGAATTTGGGGCCAAAAAGGGGCCAAAAAACAAGCATTTTTCTAGTTTCCAGACAATTACTTGTGTTCAAGTGTATGGATCTCTCTGAAATTGTACTGCAAGGTACCATACCACAAAGGGAAGGCTGGGATTGAGTTTAGGGGTGATGAATCATAAGGGGGTTCAAAAAATTTGGGGGGGGGGGTCCTTTTTTTCCTTTTTTTTTCTTTAAAATTTTCCATTTTAAATTGGTTATTTCTGATTTATATATAAAAGGAAATAAAAATGATATGGTTTGAATAGGTAAATTTAAAATTTTTAAGTTCTTGGACCACATTCATTCTGTGTCAGAAATCTATGCTGTGTCAAATATTTAATCACAATCCAAATTCAGTGCTGTATCAAGCTTGAATGTTGTGTCCATACTTGCCCCAACTGTTCAGTGTTCGACCTCTGCGGTCGTATCAAGCTGCGCCCAGCGGAGCATTTTATGTACATGTATTTTATATTAATAAAAACCACTTTAGATGAAAATCAAAGGCGAGAATGATGGGATGTCATTATGTTGAAAATCCCATTATTGTGTTTTTTGGCCATGCATGAATGAATTCATTTATGAGTATTTAGAGATAGACTAAGATTTGCTAACTACTGTTGTGTAATGCATTCATTGTCTTCATGAAAAAAAAATATTGCCCTTTTCCAATCATCAATTGGGCTGCGTCGAACACATGAACACGTGCGCTGCATTTTGTTTTTTGTTGTTGCAATAGTTATTTGTTTTAAAGTGAATAAGATTATAACACATTGTTGACTGATCTATCCCAATTTTTTACATTTTTACCTTTTATGTCTGTTTGTTTTGCTCACACATTGTTGACAATATAACTTGAGGGAATTCTGTACGACTTTTATACAAGTAAGAGGTTTAGAGGTTTAGCTAGCTATAAAACCAGGTTTAATTCACAATTTTCGACATAAGGAAATGCCTGTACAAAGTCAGGAATATGACAGTTGTTTTCCATTTGTTTGATGTGCTTTTGATTTTGCCATTTGCTAAATGACTTTCCGTTTTAAACCTTCTTTGGAGTTCGGTATTTTTGTTAATTTACTTTTTGCATAAGGTCTGGGACTATTATACTGTTAGTATAATAGTCCCAGATAAGGTCAATTTCTACTCGACACAGCTCAATTGTTTTTACTTATGTATTACTCATGAAAATAACTACTGGAATACTTGTCAAATTGGCTTAAAAAAAGAACCACCCATAGTTCATTTATTTATTTGTGTTTGGTAACATACACATTTGACCCGATTGAAACAAATAGGTCAGTGTTAGATTACCGTGGGATTCTCTTTAAGGATTGTTGAAGGTGCCAACAACAACCATACACTCACTGTAGCAATTCTTATCCAGACGAACACTTCAGGCACCGGTGATCCCTTGTATTGAAGATGTATCTGTCTTTGCTATTCACATATTTCATATTCATCTGAAAAAAAATATCTGTTAAAAGTGCACTCCAAATAGTTATGTATAACACGTTCAAATGATAAAAATATGAAAAGTATATTTATAGATAAAAAAGATAGACTAAGTTTTATCGTGCAATGAAGAAAAAGGAGAAGGAAGTTAGATAAGTATTTTTCAATCTTATCGTTCTTTTATCTCCGTAATACTTTATTATATTAGAAAAACAATATAGAAACAATAATTCACATTCTATAGTTATAATGTTGTACAGATTTACAAGAGGTAAGCATTTAAACTTTTACCTTAATTTAATATACAAATCATATCAAGCATAAAATATGATTATAAACTCTGCGTTCACTTGCAAATGTTTAACATGTTTAAGACATTTAAAATAATTTCATTATCTGGACCGGCTGAAGTTTAGAAAACTAAAATAAAAAATAAATTATTAATAGTAAAGTATGCAGTAAAACTAACAAGAACAACTCAGAGTGAAAGAGAGGCGAAAGATATCAAAGGGACATTCAAGCTCACAAGTCGAAAATAAACTGTTAACGACATGGAAATAGAAAAAGACCAAAATGACAAACAGCAGTTTACAAAACACACATAGAAACCTTAAGACTAAAGAACGAGCAACACGAACCGCACCTAAAACAACCGGGGGTGATCTCAGGTGTTTCGGAAGGATAATCAGATCAGTTAGCATGGGTTACGAGTGATCATTTACAATTCTTTCTTTCAAATTATTTAGGAATTTAGGAGGGAGAAGCATGTGTTACAAGTGATCATTTAGTGAGCATTAACAATTCTTTATTATAAATTATTTAGGAGAGAGAAATATAGTCTTAAATTTCGAATTAATTCAAAAGGTCCTTAAATTTCGAATTAATTCAAAAGGTCATTGTCAAAGAGTTATGTTTATCAGAGAGTACAACACGAGTTTCCAGCGTGAATGAGGACAGATAGTACGATCATTAGCAAAAATTAGTTTACATACTTAGTTTCAATTTAGACAACAATGATCCTTTTTCGAAACACTAAGGATTTTATACCCAAGAAATAGATTACCTTAGTCATATTTAGGAAAACATTTCGGAATTTTGGTTCAACAATGTTCTTCAACTCCGTACTTTATTTGGCCCTTTCAACTTTTTGATTCGAGCGTCACTAATAAGTCTTTTGTAGACAAAACGCGCTTCTGGCCTACAAAATTTAAATCCTGGTATATGAATTTGTTTAAAACCAACCAAATGAGGCTTTAAAACTTGACACTGATCCTGAGTTCCTTCAAAAAAGCTAAATTGCTACCTTACTTCCCTAGACGCTACAGCATATTCACTTGGTAAACTGTAACTGAGAAAATGATTATAAAATTAATTATTTGAGTACTTGAGAACTGTTGTAAGAAAGGCAATATATACAATTCGCAATTTAACATATAAATTTTCAAACATTGCACAACATTGTAGTTAAAAATTCCACTCAATCAGTATCAGGGACTCGAAGGTTAACATAATAACGATCCTCATTTACCTTTGAAGGAAGAAGAGTTATTTTTCTATTGTTTTCGAGTTACCGTTTATAACTGCGATTATTTAGGTATGCTCTTGATAAAACAGTAGGAAGCAAATACCGTAAAAGATTTATCTTCCTCCTTTTTAAGAATAAATAGGTACTGATTGAGTCAAATTTGGCATGCACGTTTCCAACTTTGGGAATATTTTCATAGCATTAGAGATAGTTCTTTTAAATGGTTTTAACTTTTTATTTAAGCCAAGACTCGAATTCTCATATTAAAAATATTTCTGTGTTAAGCCGTTTTCAGGAAAGATGAACAGTGTGTCGGAACCTCTATGTATTGTATTTTTTAATCACGCCAAAATCGTAGAAAACAAGACTGGCCCCTTTTAAAGATAGTCAACAAGCACAAAATTTTGCTTCTTCTCATAAATAAAATTTACATAAATATCTGTACACAGCAAGATATAATTAATTTTCTTTTCCCGTAAGAATAAAAAAAAAATAAGGATTTTGGTTTTTATTAGGTTCGATTATAAGTAAATGTATTTCAAACTCATCAAACAGATTTGAGTATTAAAGAAAATTGATTTTTATTAATTTCAAAAATGTTCAGCTGTTCATATTCAACTTGAACTAATTCCTGTATTCAAAATTAAATTGAACTGTTTTGCATTCGAATTTGACATTTTAAACGTACATTTAAGCGATCTTTGTATATCGAAGGAGGAAGTTTAATTGGGGTCGATGCACATAGTTTGATAAAACGAGACTTTCGACTTGAACAACAGTTTCTTTACGTTAATTTTTTAAAATTATTTTGATTTATTAATACTTTGACGAGGTAAGTGCAGTTTAGAATAACGAATTGTAATTTTTTCTATAATAAGCAAACCATAGCGATTCTATACTTTAGTTGGAAGTAGGTACCAATTCAACTTTGTACAACAAATAATTAAAACATCTTTACAGCTGTCCAGCATGATTTCTTTAAAACAAATCTGAAATATTTTATTTCTAACGCATTACACAGAACACTGGCATATCAACGTAAAAAAGAAGAAACAATTTGAGACCAGCAACAAAGCGAAACTTAAACGATATGCCTTCAATAATTTTTTCGAGTGATATGTCTATTTAATTCTTTCCTTCTGCGAAAATTATAATATTGAAAATTTAACAAGTATATCTTTTTCCAAGACCATTCCTTGTGAGTGTGTTAATTTTGACATTGTTAACTATACCAGTGTGTCGTCGAATTGACTTCAAAGTAAATTGTTAGTAGGTACGAATGACATATAATTATTGATATAGTTTTGGTTCAATCAAATGTGGCATTATTTAGCACTGTCCTTCTTGTATATGTAATTTTCTTTGTTGTCTCTGAAATACTGATACTGTACTAATTTTATAGATGTTTTTTCATCCTCTTTTCATAAACCTTTAGGAATTCACTATATTCCAGATCAGTTTTTTCCATACAATTATCTAAGTTATATTCATAATTTCAAGAGGCCCAATTCACTTCCGTAATTGATACAAAGTACAGATTGGTTGCAACCATTAGGGATATTGCTAACCATAAACTATTCAAACTAGTAACAACTACTTCCACAGTGGTAGATCCAGAACTTTTCATAAGGTGGGGGGGGGGGGGGGGGGGGAGCTGACTGACCTAAGGGGGGCCCGCTCCAGTCATGCTTCAGTGATTCCCTATATAATCAACCAAATTTTACCCACGAAAGAGGGGGGGGGGGGGGGTCACCAGCCCCCCTCCCCCTGGATCCGCCTATGTACCGAATAAGATAAAACAAAACGTAGTTTTTTCATGTAGAATGTGCTTATAAGGGTTTGTATGCCATCCGAATTAGCCACATTTTCCAACAAAATCTTTGGTGAAAAAAATACCCGATTACTCCAAAGATAAAGCTACACCTGTCATTTCATATACCTACACCAAACATATTGCTTCCAAGTTTTCAACCTCAAAAAAGTATAAGAGACATATACGATAAACCCAGAAAAACGCTTCGACAAACGGAAATTTATTAAGTGTTGTTATAGTAAGAGATGATGATATGCATATTCAGGACGAGAACATGTTAATGTAATATGAAAATTATCCCTGCTTTGTTCTAGACCGACACGCTAAGCCGAATTGTTAACGTGCTAGTTTACAAGGTAACAGTCCGAAGGAAGACATGTCACCCTATCCAAACACATTATTCTGACTCCGAGCCGACCAGTCTTTGCTCTAACTCCTTAATGCCGCGTGCTTAGCGGAGAATCAGCAAATACCAATTTTACAGTCTTTGGTTTGACCCGGCCGGGCTTCAAACCCACGACCTCCCGCACTCGAGGTGAACACGCTATCACGAGACCACCGAGGCGGTGCCAAAGCGAAAGAAGAAATATAAGAATATCAGTTTTTACCCTCGGGGATGTAACCATCTGATTATTCTTGTGCATTGCCCCCTACAAAAAAGTATGAAAATGGTGGGTTAAACTTGGTTTTATAGCTAGCTTAACCTACCACTTGTACTTGTAACAGTTGTTCATAGTTCCGTTATACTGACAAAAAATGGGTGAGCAACCCAGACATAATAGGTTAATGTGACAATAATTGAGATCCAGCATCCAGTACTATGTAAACATACATCATATGCACAACACAACTGACTACAAAATTCAATCAAATACTGTATAAATCTAACAAAGACGCCAACAATAAAAGGTAAACATTAAGTAAATATAAATACAAGGATAAAGAAAATAGAAACAAGACGGTAAAACCCATTGTGTCCGAATCGAGCCTCAGAACCTACCTGCACCAGGAATGCACAAGGTTAATAAATGTACAATATACAAATATAGTCCTACTGCTCTACTACACTATTGGTATCGTACGCGTGTTAGTTTTTAACCTTTTTCGTGTTATGGTTGTTCATCAACATTTGGGGTTAATCTTGTACCAACTCTGTGTTAGCCTTATTGTAGCTATCAAAAACATTTTGTCCTCTCCTCTTTTTTTTTGTACTCTTCATAGTAATATGAAAGACGGAAAAGTATAATATGATAAAGCATTGGTCACGACGACGACAAATCATCAACAACGGGGCCTTTCCGTTTGAACCCGCTCTTGCCTTGCCTTGACAATAACGTTGAACAGAAAAATGATGTTTTTTGAAATGATAAACTTTTAAACTTCAGGCAATTTTCATAAATTAATATAAAACTTGTCTGGAGCTATTTGATGTTCAGTTACCTTTTAAAATATTGATTTTAAAGCGTATGCTATATATAACCATGATAAAGTTGGATAGGTTCACTTTAAATATATAAAGAAACGTCGCGTTTGTATTACGATGATAAATTGTTAAATATGGATGTAAATCTACCTGATTATCAATTGGATATATTAAAACTAATCAATGATACCAGGCCCATAATTTTGTGCGCCAGACACGTGTTCGTGTTCGATTAGACTTATTCATGGCGATAGAATCAAATCAATTAGAAGACCAAATCAAATACAAACTTAAAAAGCATTAAACACCGAAAATAACGAAAGGATTTACCTAATACAGTGAAATCAATCTATGCCTGGGGAACAAAAACCTATTGTTTTGAATACGAATTTTATAAACAGTCAAGTTAAAGAAAATCAACAAATGAATAGTGTGTCATACTTGGCTGCTGATATCCTCGGGGACGAAAGAAAATATGTAATATGACACTAAAATTTAATGTCACATTTACATATGTGTATGAATGAATAACGTGAGGAACTCATTAACATCCAATGTTTCGTGCAAAGTGGGGCACGCTCTACATCAAAAAGAAATAAAACTGAAACACACTTTTTCTTGGTGTTAAAACAAGAGCACTTAAAATATGGAAATTTATTCTGACCGTCTTCATTGATTTTGCCACGACTAAGCCCACAACAACGGGAACAGGCTATTTGACACCCTAATGCAAGACAACGATCCCATAGCAAACGCATTAACTGCAGTTGCATTATACAAGTTAACATGACTGTGAGTACAATACAAACAGCATCATTCCGTGCAGTGAGAACTTAAGGGTAACGACGCGACATCATGAAAGAAACATCCTTTAGCAGCACATATAAATTCGATTTAAATGAGCAACCTCAAATGCACAACAACATGCATGACAGCGAACGGGCACACTAGAGCCACAATAAACGTATTGCATAACGATAACATTGCTATCATTGCTTGGCCTAAGTCCAGATTTGAATTGTTTGAACATCAATGGGAGGAATCTAAAGAATGCAGAATGGAGAACAACCACGACCAAAAACTGCAGGTGAACTAAAGACGTATTTCTTGAGAATGTGGGCTGTTATTAAAATGACATTCATCAACCGTTTAATACATTCCATGCGTATGAAGTGCGTCTATGTCATCATCGCCGGGGGTAATACCTTTTATTGGCTTTTGAGCAAATAGATTAACCGACTCTCTAATGAGTTTGTAGTTTTAACATTCAAAAACATTTTTCATATATCATAGACTGTAATTGATATGCCTAAATTGATGTTAAATGTGTTTGTTGAAAGATTGTACACTTAAATAAATTTCTGTGATACCCTGATTTATTGTGCCGTTTGTTTTGCGGTTCAGTATATACACGTAAACGCCCTAAGAAGTCATAGCTGTCATACCTGAGCTTTCTCCAATAAAGGATATTTTAAACTTCATCGATCATTACTGTATTGGGTGGTATTTTTATCTCTCATTTTGGAGTAAGCATTTAGTATTTATTGGGGATGTTAGTCAACAGTAAACGGTAGAAAATTATAAGTACAAAATGTATTTATTTAGTTTCCTAAACATTTTTTTACCGATCATTCCTGATGAACAATTTGCCAAAGACTTGATTCTTGGTTATTTATTTGTTTTATGTTTAAATCTCCGCTCGATTGTGATTTCTACCAGGCCTTCTTGAATTGACGGCTCTGCTGAATAGGAAGTAGATTGAATTTAGAAAACCTTTATTGTTACGAGTGTTTGATTCTCAGCTATTTTTCGCAGGTCGGTATATAATGTTCTTGTTAAGCTTTTACAAAATACAACCGGGACGGAAAGATTATAAAAACCCATAAAAGATACCGAGTCGCTAGTTTAGTACACCAGACGCGTGTATATGAACAGAGATTACTGAAAACTATTTTAAATGTATTTTCTCAGCCAGAATATATTCATAAATTTAAAGACACTTTAAAGAGTGTTGTGACTAGAATCATTTTTAAGAAGATGCGAGTCACACGGTCACGATTTGGAGCAATTTCACAAATTCCAAAGTCCCGAAATGACAAATGTAAAACGATTAAAACGAGAAAACTAATGGCCTGATTGATGTACAAAGCAATAAACATCTTACTTTGAAAACAATTTTGATACCACAATAAATAATTAAATATCGAATATATTTTTGTAAAACTGGTATCGAAAAACGTAATAAACAATAATAGGAAATTGTTATGAAAGACAAACAAACTATTTTCCGACTGAATTTCGGATTGATTTAATATTGTCCTTGTTTTTTTTTAGATAGTTAAAATTACCAAAAATTCGAAATCTTAATATGTTTTGGACACTTTGAAGCATATATATGTAATTACATTTTTTTATAAATACGACGTAATTTAGTTCAGCGGGTCGAAAATCATGACTGCCTTTCAAATGAATGGAATACATTTGTTAGACTCAGATCGACGTCCGGTCTCTAATCGACGTCCGTTCCTCAAATCGACGTCCAAATCTGACTTCACGTTCTAAAATCATTGTCCAATATTTTAACTCTCTAATCGAC